CTGCATTTAGTGTTTTATAACAGTTATCCAGGTTCAACTCTGTTCACTGTTCAATACTTTAATGTCAGACTGGAGGAGAGCAACCCAACATAGATACATGGACAGCTGCTGTTTTCAGGCTGTGCTGAAATATTCTTCACTCCTGCTCTCTCTCTCTCTGTTTGTGTGCATGTGTGTGCCTTTTCTGACTTTGCCTGTGATGGATCTGAGTCCAGCAAATGAAAATGACCTTCATCCTGTTATCTTTCTCCCTCTTTCGCCCTGTCTGTCTCACTGTGTGCTTGTGTGTGCTCATCCTCTAACTGCCTGTGATGGGACCTGAGCCCAGCCGATGGAAATGACAGGTCGAGGATATTGTCTTTGCCGGTCCTCTTCGCAACGGCATTTTTCATGCTCTTGTAAATCTTTGACTTGTACACAAAAGCACCTATCAAGGGACAAGTATTGACCAAGTGAAAAATTTAAATGAGGCTCTCTCTTCATTTTTTCTTTGTGTTTCTGTGGTGAAGCGGACTGTGAAAATCACAGCGGGAGGTTGTGGGACCTAATAACAGACACAAAGTGGAGTTACAGTGTTGTGAAAGACAAGAGATTGTTGGTTTTGTTCATACGGGCAAGGTTCCCATAACAAAGGAGATGCAAGTTTGTCAGCTTGGGTCTCTGTTGGCCATGCACTGTACGTGTACAATTGAGCACTTGCGTAAGCAAATGCATAGTCTGAGCCAGTGAACAAATACCTAATGTCAAATGAATTCACAATTACTGATTGGTACGTTTCAGTACATTTCCACTTTAATTGTAGAATGAACTTATTTCACATTTATCTCAAAGATCAGTGAAATCAAAATTGCTCTATCCAGATCCCTTTTGTATGAGAGTACATTTTGAAATTAAATTTGGTCCAGTTGGTGGATGGCATACCATTTTTGATTATGATGACTCTCAGAGGATTGTAATGACCAACTGAACTTGTCTTTGTCTGAGAATGAGTCAGGGGAGGAGTGGGAGGGAAGACAGGGCAGAATGGAGAAACTGTGACAGTGAAGGAGAGGAAAATGAGGGAGTAAATAGGTCTGATTATCAGGGTGGCCTAATGGTGCTGACTGTCCCCATTTGACAGGCTAATAGCACACTTGACAGATAGATGTAGAAGAAGCAATGCCCAGGCCTATTGTTGAAGTCTGCTGCAGTAATGAGGTGTCTGCCAGTAATCTGCCAGGCCTATGTCCAGCCCTGTGTGGCCCTTTGTAGCCAGGTAATTGCACTGTTCCTATAGTTTCAACATGGGGTTTCATTGGCAGCCCACTGAAGAGGCAGAAGTATCCAGAAGGGATTAATGTTGATAATGCACTTGAAAAAAAAAAAGTGGAAAGTCTTAAAAATGTAGTGCTGTATTTTTATTGGTTCTATTGGTAAGACTGTAACATTAAGAAATTATACATTTTACCATTTTCTGTAACCTTTGAACATTGAATTTGTAAAAGAAAAAAGACCCAACTGTAATCCAAATGAATACATAAGTACTCTTTATCTGGTATCCATGGTGTTGTTCATATATGAGGGCAAACATTTCCTTCATCTCACTAAGCAGCAAAATGACAAAAGCACAATCAAAACCTTGTTGAAATGTACTTGATTGCTTCAGCATCAGAATGACAACTTTAGCACTGTGAAACAAACGATGGCACTGTTTGGACTAAACAGACGAATGAGGCACATCCCTAATTTCACATAATGTCCTATCTATGCCAGAGCCAAGACTGCCAGTAGAATAGACAGATTTCTTTGTTTATGTGACATGGCATTGTTTATGCACATCAGGGAATGTGCAGGTGCGCAAATATCCGTGATGCGAAAGTTGAAATTTGTCCATTGAATACTTTGATTGCAATTCTGTTTCAAATTGGAATTAGTTATCCAAAAAAACATGATTCTAGAAAGCTACTGATTTAGAACGTCGTATTAAAGAAGCCATGCCATGGAAGTGTGTATAAAAGCTTACACATTTATACATCATGAAAAGTAATTTCTTATTTTTGTTAAGTTCATTATTTCCAGAAGAATGTGGCACAGTTTAAGGAAAAGGGTGCGCTGCTCACAGTCTCCTCTAAATCCCTCTTGGCTCTGCTTTTCAAGGTGAGCCATTTTTGTCATGTGCTGTTGTGCTCAGCACAGCTGTTAAAAAGGATGATGGAGGGGATGAGTAAGATGATTGCTTAGCAGATAATAATTAATCAACAAACCCTCTTATTTATTTTCCATTTCACCCATCCTTTTTGCAAATAGCATGCATGGATGTGCCTCCAATTAGTATTAAAATGAATGGCAAGTGCATTTATATATGCATTTATAGATGTCACTGTGACCATGTCCTGAAACTAAGGGTCTGTCATTTTAAATACATCCAGTAGATCTCTGTTTAAAGGACTATTTCACCAATGTTCAGCCTTGTCTTATATTGATTGGCTTGTATTGGCTTATATAAATAATGACAATCAATAGCACCCAGATGATGCTGTTTCATGCCATCCAAAAGTCTAACTTTATTTTTTTTTGTAGTTTTAAAGTCTCACAGTTCTGTCTGGTTAATGAAAAGAGGCCCTCATACCAAAATAAGTATGCCTCGCTTCTACTCAACTGAAAACAACATCATCAGCTATGGGATTTAGAGGATAAATAGAGCCATCCCATGAGATATAGACTGTTGACAAGGGTAATGGTTTATTATTACCCTTCTAGTACTATAAGACTGTCAACCCAAGAGAGCACCGATAGGTGAAGTGGTCCTTTACCCACGAAAAAACGTTTGTGCTTGTCTCAATGGAATCTTTTTCAACTTGACATGGCTGTAGTGTGGACTCTTATAAGATTAAGGAAAACCAAGAGACCACCTAGAAAACAGTAAGGCAGCAGTATAGTTAGAAGGGTTATGGTGTAAATTGGCCATGAGAGGAGGAAAGGGAGAGCTCAGATGAGGAGAGGAAGGAATAATGGAGGTGAGGAGGGAGTTGAAGGGATTTAGTGTGAATCACCGAAGAGGCCATTTAACTGCCCTCAATCCCAGTGTGTGTCTGGGAGGAAAGACTGATCAATAGTATGATTTAGGAGTTCATTCACGGCCTGTGCTCTCCAGGAGGTTCACACACGCACATATACAGATACAGACACACAAAGGTTATATACTGCCCCCTCTTAGCCTGTCATTCAGGCCTGGCCTGAATTTCATATGAATGTCATATTTATCTACTTTAGCTATTGAAAAATAGCCAGTCATGTCTTTTTATGAAAAACTGTGTTTTCATTTTAAGGGTAGGACACTCTCTGCTCAAAGTGAATTTATTACATTGCTAAATGCCCACATAGATAAGTGTATATGGTAGTCATGCTGTGGGTGATAAAAGTACTGGTGAGAACTACAGACACGGCAGTCATGTTTTCTTATGTAATCTATCCTGGACACTTACCTCACATCCACCACTGCTTTAACTGTAGAGGGTGTTTTTTATCTTTTACACATTTTACAACTCTTTTTCTACTCCGAGTTGTTATGCGGGGGTGGTTTGGTGAACAATGCATGAGAAAAAAAAACACATAAATCTCATGACTGGTGCTATCTTTCTCAACTAATGCCTGATGCTCAACAGCTCTCTGATCTTACTGGCACAGCCCTCTTGACCTAGATTGTGTGCCAACAATTCTTCAGACCACAGAATGCCAAGTATATCTACAAACAATCCTCCTCCACTTAGCTGCTCTGTTTGGAGAGCTATTCCCACAGAAATGCAAACATCACTATCCTCGGCCTTCTATGGGCAAGTCCTACCGGGTGGGTTGCATTCAAGATACAAAGATTCAATGTGCTAGACTGAAATCCAAACAACCAGATGAATTAAAGAGATCTGCGCCCTGTGGGGTTCTAAAATCAGACGAGATGTTAGGCAAACATGTCCGTGGAGGGTATTCAAGACACTACTCATTATGTCTTTTCAGTTTACAGGCTGCAGAGTCGTTCTTTGTTTTTTAGGGGGTTGCCTTTTTCCTGCTTTGTACCTTCTCAC